TTTTGTAAAACGTTTAGACCGCCTATTAAATCCTCTAGACTATGATTAGGCGTTCTAGACACTAGGCATTGGGTCACCGTCCGCTTGGCGCCTAACGCTTTCTTCAAGATTGATTATAGTGTAACAGATTAACTTCTAGAATATACTCTCGTATGATTCCCATAAAGAAACTGCAGAGTTATTTCATTGATAGTATTAGGAAATCTCTAGTTATTTCCGACCCATGAGTTGATCAAAGTCTATTCCGTATAAGATTTAAAGTTATTGTTCTACCCATACCGTTAGTTGGGTGGCATTAAAATCGTTTGGTAGAATTTCTATAATTTTCTCCATTTTTGTTGTTCTTGTTGATAGATTGTAAATGTTGTTTTGATTTATGTCATATATCTTTTACTTCCTTTGCGTTTATCAATGCCTTTTAACAACCAAACTCTTTGTTTTTCGTTTGGCTCTTTTTAATCATACACTAAGTGGTTGTGAATAATTAATTTTTCTAAGATTATCTTTGAAGAAAAGTTATGAAAAAACGAGAGGTTTATTATATCTTCCAACAGCCAAGATGCCGACGATTTCTTGTGGCAGAACTTAAATTCTCCGATGGATATTATCCCAAGCTCGGATTGGATTCCATTACATTACTAAAACTCTAGAAAAGTTTTGATGACCCGTCAAGAATTGAGATTACTGTTTTGATTATAAACTTAAAAAGTTTATTTAGTAAAAGACATTGGCATCAAACTGAAAGGAAGAGGACGCAACGCAAAAATTTACAATCCATCAACAACAGGAAGAACATCTATGTAAACCAGATTTTCATTGTCGATTTCCACATTTACTATTACGTTGGTTAATCTGATATTGTAAGTTTGCCAAATGCGATATGTACTAGTTTTCGGATAGCTAGCTTTTATCACTCATGTGTCCACCAACTCTGTATGATGCATCGCAATCAAAACATCGACAACTTGCACAAAACTCAATAACCAATAGCAATAACATACTGCATATTCTATCTGAGAGGTTCCAATCGCAGTTTCATGAGAGCAGATCGAGATAAAACCGAGTGGGAAAAAAGAGAATTTCAAACCACGACGAGGTGGTCGTGAATTGGGAGAGGATCTCTAAKCAGAGCAAACCTTATATGTTGTAACCTATCTTCATACCAAACTTTTTTCACACTGGGTTTTCTAAAATAAGACCTAATCTGCTTCTTACTATTCGTTTTAAGATATAGAGCAAGAATGTAAAATAGAATGAACGTGGAACAATTCGCATCTCAAAGTGTAAAACGACATGAAGCAAGTGAATCCATATATCACAAGAAACATAGGACTGAATCAGAGAGGTAACGAAGATGAATATTCATGATGCAAAAGACTACACAGAGACAACACATACGAGTTTTGACACCTTGACTAGGTTGATTAGAGATCTCCAATGCCAAAGCCTATCATCAACCCAGAAACAAATACCCCTAATTTTTTACCCACTCTTGATTGGTACACAGAAACCAAACAAAAAACACAGGAAAAGAGAATCGACCGAACATTTTAAGACTTTTAGAAAACGACTCACATGATGGTGCATCGGCCTTTTTCTTCGTTTGGTTGCGTTGGCATTTGCTGGAACCGGTGTGACTCAGAGGGATTGTATGTGAACTCAGATGTGTCAAGCCCATACTGTTTCAAAAAATAAAAACCTGTCAGCGAATCTTGG